GATCCATTTCCCCGACTCTGCCTCTCCTGGGCCATCTCTGCTGGATATCCCTTCCCCTTTCCTTTCCCTTTTTCCTCTCCCTTTCTCCTCTCCTTTCCCTTTCTCCTTTTCCCTTTCTCCTTTTCCCTTTCTCCTTTCTCCTTTCTCCTTTCTCCTCTCTCCTCTCCCCTTTCTCCCTTTCTCCTTTCTCCTTTGCCTTTCCTTTTTCTTCTTCCCCTTCCCCTTCCCCCTTCCCTTTTCTGCTTCTCCTTTTCCCTTCCCGTTTTCCTTCTCCTCCCCTCTGCCCCATTCCCCTGTGTATGTTCCAGCCAGCCCAGGCCCCACAGCGAGAGGATGCAGGAGGCAGGTGGGACCAGCTCCTGCCACCTGTCCTGGGCTCTCTGCACAGCCCTTGCTGCAGCCCTTGCACCCTCCCTGCACCCCTTGGCTAGGAAGCAGGATGAGGTGCAGACTCCAGAGCCGGGTGTGTGCACACCAACGCTTGTTTGCTCTTCTTCATCAATGTGAAACATGCAGAATCCTCCAAGCACCCAGTTTCGGAGGAGATCTCAGGCCAGGGGCTGTAGGTCTGTAGAGGGGGTTATGGTCACCTCACTGGGTGTAATGAGAGTGAGGTGCAATACCTGTGCCCTCCACAGTCAGAGTAGTGAAGGTTTTTAAGATGTGTCTATTGGAAATTTGGAGGAGTTTGCTAATGTCATCTGGATGGGCTGCCAGGACAAATATTTCTGCAGGAGGCATCTCCTAAATTTCCGTCAGATGACAAGATGGAGAGATGAACACGAACCTCCTTGCAAAGCCCCTTGGGCAGCATGGCTTTTTCATCATCACAGTCGTCTGCCTGCTAGGGGAAATTTCACAACTGTCCTCCACTAAATAGGGCATTTGTGATGAAGGGGGCAGCCTTCCTTGGGAACGTGTCCCGCTGTTTACAGCAGCAACAGATTTGTGACTCAGAAATAATGTCTGAATTAATTACTTTATTAGACTTTTTGCAGACTATTTATTTTCGTAACTTTGCCATTTGGAGAAAGACTAATTTGCACAAAAGAGATTTCTCATAACAACAGCAAGTAAAATACTCCCAAAAGTTACCTCCCATTATACGTTTGAAACAGTACTATACATCAGTAGCCACTTAAAAGTCATCTTAACTTTTTTTTGGTACAGACAATCCAGTGATAGGCTCTTGGAATAAAAGTTTCTGAGGTGCGGTCTCTTTACAGACAACAAAAAATGGGTGGAGCATTGACAGAACAATCTGTTAAAAAGAAACAGGGTATATGGTATCTGTACAATAAAGACACGGCCATCTGATAAATGCATATGTTTATATGCATGTGCATGCCAGAAGGGAACAGAAAGCATTGCAAGAAGCAGTGGTTGGTTTGGATCAGCGATACCGTTCAGGTGGTGCCGCCTTTGCACAAAGTTATTTACACGTAGTTGTGAGATGGGTGGTGGATGCACGGTGCTGTATGCATAAAGTGCT